GCTCTTTCAGATGTGGGAGCTGCAGTCCAAACTCCTTCAGGTTGTTAGCACTAATATCCAAAACTTCCAGTGTTTGGGGAATGCAGTCTGTTACTTTAGCAATTTGAGTGCTGGAGAGGTTTAAAAATTTCAGGTTTTTTGGCCAGTCACATGCATCTGGAATCTCACCAAAATTATTTTGGCTAATGTCAAGATTATTCAGTTTGGGTAGACGAGATATGTATTCTGCAGTCTGTTTCAGAGATCTTAGAGAGTTTTGACTTAGATTTAAAGTTTGTAGTGAAGGCCAGGCACCTTTACAGATAGTCTCTTCTAAACGATTATTTACAAGCAAATTATCATTAAAGTCTAGATACAAAAGGGATGAAAAATGTCTTGCAAGCTTGCATGGTACCATGAAAACTTTAGAGCTTTCAATAGTGAGCCTTTTCAGTTTGTTTATTTGTGACTCCATACCTTCCAGGTCAAAAAACAGATAAAAACTCTGCATCATTAAATTTATTATTGATATTGTTTCAACAAAACTTTGCCCACTCCTTGTTATTTCTTTAGTGTCCCATAGACCCTTCCCCTCAAGCACACAATCAATTGCCTCTAACTCTCGTAAAGAGGTGATTTCCTTCAATAATACCAACATTCGGCTAATAGACTTATCTGTGAAGAAAGCATCTTTACACGTAAGTTTTTGCATCCTAAAAGGACGTGTAGAGTTCTGCACCAAGCTTTTTGTTTCAACCGCTAATTTGATTTCTCTTACTTCTAGCCAAGTCACAGAGTGCAGAAGGTCCCTAACAATTTCTGAGAATACATCACTATTTCTTAGGTTTATGATCATGTGATTTATCTTCTTAATCAATTTCAAACTTCCCTGCTCATACTGACTGAGATTACCACCATCAATCCACAGCTGGTTGACAAACTCAAGGCCATCAAAGTTCCCTTGCCTTATCACAGAGAATTGAGGGTTGCCCAGGTGCAGAGAGCTCAGGTTCCTCAGACCAGAAAAGGGAGAGCTTTCTCCTAGGTCTCTGTAAAAATTGCCTTGAAGGTGGAGGTGCTGGAGCGAAAA